GTAGGGAGTTCATTAAGAAATAACATCTCTCTCTACTCTCTCTCTCTCTCTCTCTCTCTCTCTATTCTCTCTCTATTGTCTCTATTGTCTCTCCCTTACCTTTCGGATAGTATCATCTGTTCTTGTTTTCGTTGATTTGTATGATTGCTAATTGATCCTTTATCTAAGATCATCTTAGAGTTTACTATCTTCAACTACGATTTACCCCTTCATCTATATCGATTGATTTGCTTAAAAAGTGTTAAACAACTTTTGAGTCAAATAATTTGGCGCCGTCTGTGGGGATTTCGGTAGTCGATATCATAGTTCACATCTAGGATATCAAGAACAACAATCACTATCCTCCAAACTCCGTAGAACTGACAAATGGCAGATAAAGAATCAAGGCTGAATATGATAGCAGATCTCACAACCAACCTCATAGGCCCCTTCAACGAGGCCGGTAGAGAAAATGCTGCGAACGTAACACCAAGTAGTGTTCCGGAGGAGGAGATATCACCCTCTTCACTCGAAGATGTAACGATCTTGCATGAACGAGGGGCTTCAACGTCTGCAGCAAAGGAAACGCCCCCAGTAGTCAAAAAGCTACTAGAGGAATGGTTGACAAACACTCTAAATGGCATGCTCGAGAAACCATCTCAGGGAAATTTTAAAGACTCATCAACGGCGGAAGTCGTGGCTGCCGCCGGTGAACCAAGTACTATACGGACAAACAACGCTCACACCGATATCAACGCCATCGATAATGCACTCACAATCATTCTTAAGAAAATGGAAGAAATGGAGAACGAGAATAAAGCGCTTCCTGACCAAATGAAGGAGCACCGGGAAAGGGTAGACAAAATACCCGGTGCCCATAAGCTACTGCCGAAACGTGACGTGGGAAGGTTCGTCGAGCAACCGTATAGTGAGGAAGCTGCTCCTCACCTGATCCCTAAAACCTTCAAGATGCCCCCATACTTGAGAATATATGACAGGACCACGGATCCAGAAGATCATCTGATCCATTATTTAACCGCTGTAAAGGGCAACGACTTATCGAAAGAACATGTGCCGTCAGTGCTGTTGAAAAAGTTCGGTGAAACTTTGACAGGAGGGGCGCTAACATAGTACTCTCAACTACCAGCCAGATCGATATCGACGTTCGAAGAGATGGCGGATAAGTTCGCCACCGCCCATGCAGGAGCAAAGAAGGCTGAAGCAAGGGTCAACGATATCTTTGCGATCAGGCAAACAACAGGCGAAGGACTCAGAGACTTCCTGGCACGATTCAACAGGGTAAGAATGGTCTTACCAAACGTATCAGAAGGAATGGCGGTCGCTGCTTTCCAAAACGGGTTAAACAGAGATGGGTCGAAAGCGACCAAGAAGCTGCTCAATCGACTTATGAAGTATCCCCCCACTACGTGGGAAGAAATCCATAATGCCTACTGCGCAGAAGTGAGAGCAGACGAAGACGATCTTAACGGTCCAACCCAACAACTGACATCAGTGCAATCAGAAGTCAAGAGGGATCGACGCAACGACGAGCGACGGGAACCACTCCCACGATTCAACAGAGAAAGGCATCAGCCCTACGTCAGAGCCCCAATCCGCCTCCTCCAAGACATCCAGACGCCGTGCAACGACATACCGCCCAGCTTCGGAATGAAAGAGGTATGCCCCCATCCGCTCATAACTTTTGCGTCTCACCTTCAGAAATAATGTACGCACTGGAAAAGCTAGGCACAAAGGTACAATGGCCACAAAAAATGAAATCAGATCCTAGTGCAAGGAGGTCGAACGTCCTATGCGAGTTCCATCAGGAAAGGGGACACAAGACCGAAGATTGCATAGGTCTACGACAGGAAGTTGTCAGAATGCTGAACCAAGGATACCTGAAGGAGCTGCTCAGCGATAAAGGGAGAGCTAATTTTGCCAAGGGACGCGATCAGTCCCAAGGACCACCGAAACCACCCTCTCCAGCACGCGCCATACAGATGATCGTCGGTGGCGGCGACGACTCGGCAATCAACCATGCAAAGTTCACCACCACACACAAGTTGAAGCGCACGATCGCTCACGAACGGTATGACGACTTCGAAGATAGCATCACCTTCGATAAGTCTGATGTTGACGGTTTGTCTTTCCCTCATTACGATGCTTTAGTTATAACTTTACGCATTGCTGATACTGACGTAAAAAGAATCATGGTAGACGATGGAAGCGGTGCGTGTATTATCCACCCGAGGGTCCTCATGCAAATGAGGCTCGAAGATAAGGTAATACCGCGTTGCATAACGCTAACAGGTTTTAACAATGCAGTGGAGCGAACCTCCGGAGAGATATCACTGCCAGTTTTGGCGGGAGGAGTCACGCTGGAAACCACATTCCACATCATGAACCAGGAAACGGCTTACAACGTCATCATAGGACGCCCGTGGATACACGCCATGCGAGCCATCCCCTCTAGTCTCTACCAGTAATCAAATTTCCCACCCCATGGGGAATATTCAGCATTCGAGGTGAGCCACGCACCGCCCAGGAATGTTACCGAATTGCCCAAGACTGCACACATACCAAACAGCTGAAGGGAGCAAGTGCGGAAGCGTAGCAATTAGCCATGTCGGGAACCAAAATCAACCCGACAACAGAGGTTATTAGGGACCCAGATGTCGTAGAAGGTTGCAAAGCGACAGTCGAGAACCTCGACCCGGTCCAGCTGGACAGTGTCGACAGTTCAAAGAAAGCCTACATCGGACACAACCTCTCCGACCCAGGTAAGTACCATGAATTCTTAACTAACCATGCAGATTTATTTGCCTTCTCTCATTCAGATATGCCGGGGATCCCAAAAGACATCGCCACTCACAAGCTGAACGTCGACCCACTTTATCCGCCCGTACGGCAGATAAGAAGGAAATTCAACGCCGCAATCAACGAGGCAGTCAGTGAAGAGGTAGATAAATTACTAGCCAACGGTTCCATCAGAGAATCGAAATACCCCCAATGGGTCGCCAAAGTGGTCATGGTTAAAAAGAAAAACGGGAAATGGAGAATGTGCGTAGACTTCACCGACCTAAATAAGGCATGCCCAAAGGACTCCTTCCCGTTACCCCATATCGACCAACTAATTGATGCGACAGCGGGGCACGAGCTGCTGAGTTTCTTGGACGCCTACTCCGGCTATAACCAAATCTTAATGGCCGAAGAAGACCAAGAAAAGACAACTTTTATCACCCATCAAGGGACGTACTGCTACAAAGTGATGCCCTTCGGACTGAAAAACGCGGGTGCAACGTACCAGAGGTTGGTCACCAAGATGTTCAAGGAATAGCTCGGTAAGACAATGGAGGTTTATATCGACGACATGTTAGTAAAATCGGTTAAGAAAGAAGACCATATCGACCACTTAAAGCAAGCCTTCGAGATACTGAGGCAATATGGGATGAAGTTGAACCCAGAAAAATGCGCCTTCGGCGTGGCCTCGGGAAAATTTCTAGGTTTCCTCGTATCACAACGAGGCATCGAAGTCAACCCAGACCAGATCAAGGCTATAGACACAATACCCGAGATCCTGCACAGCAAGAAGCAGGTACAAAAACTAACGGGGCGAATAGCCGCCTTGTCAAGGTTCATCTCGCGGTCCTCGGACAGATGCCATAAATTCTTCAGTGTGCTGAGGAAAGATCATGGACTACAATGGAACGAAGAATGCATCGAGGCCCTAAGGAAATTGAAGGCATATTTATCTTCGCTGCCGCTGCTCGTCAAGGCAGACCCCAGCGAGTGCCTACTTGTGTATCTGGCAGTGTCCGAAGTCGCTGTCAGCGCCGTCTTGGTCCGCGAAAACAAAGGTACGCAATCCCCTATTTATTATATCAGCAAAACGTTAGTAGATGCCGAGACGAGGTACCCCCACCTCGAAAAACTGGCTCTGGCGCTGGTCGTAGCTTCACGAAAGCTCAGACCTTATTTTCAATGCCATCCCATAAAGGTAATAACAACCTTCCCCCTAAGAGGCATCCTACACAAACCCGAACTCTCGGGTAGGCTCGCCAAATGGGCCATAGAGCTCAGCGAGCATGACATAACCTACCACCCAAGAACCGCCATCAAGTCACAGGTACTCGCTGATTTTGTTGCCGACTTCAGTGCAGGGATATTGCCAGAGGTGGAACAAGAGGCCCTCCGCGCCTCTGCTCACACCGACCTCTGGACCCTCTACACTGACGGCGCTGCGAATGCCTCGGGATCGGGACTGGGACTCGTCCTCGAAGTCCCCACGGGCGAAATAATTTGCCAGTCCATATGATGTCCCGAGATGACTAACAACGAGGCCGAGTATGAGGCTGTGATTGCAGGCATGAAACTAGCCATCAAATACGGGGCCCGTCGACTCATCCTCCACTGCGACTCTCAACTCGTCGTAAATCAAGTCACCGAGACTTACCAAATCAAAGAGCAACGGCTACGAAAAAATTTCACTCAGAGATCCGGAAGCTGATGCCCGAGTTCGATGAATGTCGCTTCGAGCAAATCCCCAGGGCACAAAACGTCGAGGCAGATGGCCTAGCAAAACTAGCCGCAGCCACCAAAAATATCAACTAAGAAAATATGGTCACTCTCCTCCATTCGTCCGTCGACCACGTCGAGGTATTCTCTTTAAACTTGACTTGGGACTGGCGCAACCAATTTGTATCCTACCTGCAGGACGGAACACTCCCACGCGACAAAAAAGAAGCCAAGAAGCTCCGGGTACAAGCTGCCCGGTACAGCCTGATAAATCACGATCTCTACAAGAGAACGTTTGGTGGTCCCCTTGCTAAGTGCCTCGGGCCGCATCAAACGAGGCAAGTATTAGAAGAAGTGCACGAGGGCCATTGTGGTGCCCATACAGGGAACCGCGCCCTTGTCTGATGCCTCATCCGCACTGGCTATTACTGGCCTACCATGAAAAAAGAGGCAGCAGATTATGTTCGAAGATGCGAGCAGTGCCAAAAGTACGCCCCCATGATACACCAGGCGGGGGAGCTCCTCCATTCGGTCACCTCGCCATGGCCCTTCATAAAGTGGGGAATGGATATAATCGGCCCCCTACCGGCAGGACGAGGAAAGGTACGCTTTCTTCTAGTTTTGACTGACTATTTTTCTAAATGGGTGGAAGCAGGTGCGTACGCACAAATACGCGAGCAGGAGGTCATTGCCTTTATATGAAAAAATATCATATGCCCTTCCGGCATCACCAATGAAATCAGCTGTGACAATGGGCCCCAGTTCATCGGTAGAAAAACAACCGAATTCTTCGAGAAATGGCACATCAAACGGATACTCTCCACTCTGTATCATCCCGCCGCCAACGGCCAGGCCGAATCTTCCAACAAAACAATATTGAACATATTAAAAAAGAAGCTCGAAGAAGCTAAAGGGCTATGGCCCGAATTATTACCTGAAGTATTATGGGCATACCGGACTACGCCCAAATCCAGTACGGGAGAAACACCGTATTCACTGGTCTATGGGACCGATGCAGTCATACCCGTCGAGATCGGAGAACCAAGCCTGAGATATTCCCATACCAGCGGAGCGGATAACGATGAAAGCAGGTTACAAGATCTGGACGAAGCCGAAGAATGAAGAGACATGGCCCATATAAGAATGACAGCCCAAAAACAGCAGGCAGAAAGATATTACAACAAGAAAGCCAAAGTAAGATGGCTCAAAGTTGGCGAGTACGTCCTCAAAGCCAAAACACTAGCATCGAAAGACCTGAATGAAGGAAAATTGGGGACCAACTGGGACGGACCATACAAAATCATAGCAGCGGCGAACAAAGGAGCGTTCCAACTAGAAACGATGGAAGGAAAACCGCTCCAAAACAATTGGAACATCGCCCACATCAAATACTTCCACTACTGAAGGGCATCTCCTAAGTCGTACTCTTTTTCCCTCACCCGAGTTTTGTCCCAATCGGGTTTTCTCGGGAAGGTTTTTAATGAGGCAGCAAAGGGGATACCCGGTGGAACAGGAGCGCAGGTTCACCAATCGACACGAGCCACAGGCCAATATAGTAAAGGGACTACACTAGTTACTCTCCATTATATGAACAGTATTCCCCATTGTATGCACAGAATTCTCCATTGTATGTACAGAAATCCCCATTGAATGAACAGAAATCTCCAATGAATGAACAGAAATCTCCATTGAATGAACAAAAATCTCCAATGAACGAACAGAAATCCCCATCCCACGACGGATACTACTTCGACGACAGTCGAAGCAACATCCTAATGGCCAAGGCCATCGACATCGGTTCGACCTCGTTCGAACCACAACGGATACTACTTCGACGACAGTCGAAGCATCATCCTCATGGCCAAGGCCATCGACATCGGTCCGACCTCGCACGAACCACGACGGATACTACTTCGACGACAGTCGAAGCAACATCCTAATGGCCAAGGCCATCGACATCGGTTTGACCTCGTACGAACCACGACGGATATCACTTCGACGACAGTCAAAGCAACATCCTAATAGCCAAGGCCATCGACATCAGTTCGACCTCGTCCGAACCACGACGGATATCACTTCGATGACAGTCGAAGCAACATCCTAATGGCCAAGGCCATCGACATCGGTTCGACCTCGTTCAAACCACGACGGATACTACTTCGACGACAGTCGAAGCAACATCCTAATGGCCAAGGCCATCGACATCGGTTCGACCTCGTTCGAACCACGGCGGATACTACTTCGACGACAGTCGAAGCAACATCCTAATGGCCAAGGCCATCGACATCGGTTCGACCTCGTTCGAACCACGGCACGACTCTTTGACGAACGATAAGAACAATCTCTACGGAGGCTAAACATCACAAAAGAGAAACAAAGGGAAGGCACCAAATGGACGAAGCAGCAAAAATAAAATTTATATTACAACAAAAATATATTTACATTTGCCCCCGTGGACGAGCTCCAAAACGCTATACAAGCCAAAAATATACATTGTACAAGTTTCTAACTGCCCGCCGCCCCCTGGGAGGTAAACAACATTGTACCAGGAGCTGGAGTCGAGCCGGTTGACGTCTTCAGAAGCAGGCCCCTCCCCATCAGGAGAGTCAGAATAATAACCACAAGTCTCACGAGCAGCGCGAGCCTCATCTCGCCGTGCCTGAACTTCCTCCTCCATCGCCTGGCCCGCAGCATGAAGCTCTCTATATACGTCGAGCTTGGACTCCGCAAAAACCCATATTTCATGCGCATTACGACGCATACTCCGAGCAGGCGAAGGACGAGATGAGGAAGGCTGAGAAAGTCCATTATTCTCTGCCATCCTGGCATCGAGCTTGGCGGTTAGATCCGCCACCATCCGCTGCAGGTCGACGTTCTCCGTCGCCACCTCACGACTCAACTCAAGCTCGTCCTCCTTCGTCCTGAGAAGCTCCTCCAACTCGCTGTTGCGAGCCACGGCCTTCATCGGCTCGCTATCTGCCTCCTCCAGCTCAGCTCCCCTGCGTTCCAACTGGGACTGCCCCCGTTCAACCACCGCTCGGTGCTTAGAGCGGTACCTTCGATACTTTTTTAGCATCTTTTTGTAGAGGGCCTCCCGTTTTTGCTCACGGCGTCCCCTCTCCACCTCCAAAACAAGGGTCTAAAAAGAAAAGCAGAAGTAAGCACGCCTCAAGTCAGTCTTACAACACGCGGAAGGGAGAAAGGAAATAAGGATTACCTGCAAAGCCATGCCGGAAACCCTTCGTGACAGCTCCGCATCCTCCACGGTACTGAGCGTCTTGCTCTCGGAGGCGGCACACAGCGGGTAAGGGCAGAAGCAGCCTGTTCGCTGTTCAACAACAAGTTGTAAGCCGCCGGAATTGTAATACGGCGGTCGGACCCATCCATCGTCATCTCCACGTGGGTGAGGCCACCCACAAACTTGTCGACATCCTCCTGAGCGCTGTCGGAGTCCAATTTCTCTGTTTCCTTGCTAGGTCCTTCGACGTTGGTCGACGACCCTCCCTCAACGGCATATGCGGAACCAGCACCGGGAGATGCACTCCTCTATTGAGCCAACCTCCCCGATCGAATTGCGTCGGCCATGAATGGTCTGTGCGTCGGCCGAGGCACATCACTTCCTTCGGCTTCGGTGTCCACCCCCTTACCCTTCTCGAGCCTCCTCCGTTTTCTGTCTAGCGATTCCTCGCCATCGGAGGGTCCATCCACGGGTTGCAGAGCTGGCACCAGCGATGCCGACCCCCACGTAAGTATGGTCGTAGATGTGGCCCTCTGTAAAGGAGATGGAGAGGGATCCCCTCGGACAGACTCAACCAGTATATCATGAGTGACCGAGGCAACGTCAAATCGACTGGGGGCGGGGACTGACGCCCTCTTCCTAGAAGCGCCTCGACCTGTCGCCATAAAAATAAGTGAGCAAGGTTGCATAATTTACAAAGCAAAAATCGAAAATCTACCTGAAGAGACTTTGGGGCCGTAACGCCGCATGAAGGCAAGCCAAGTGCGGGTCTCTTCCGCGTAAGGAAGCAGGCCAGCAACCCATCTCCTAAGATTGGCAACGGGCCGGGGCGGGTGAGCCATAGCTGCAAAACAAAGGTCAGAATTGCGACAATCATGGGTAATACGAAATTTGACAAACTGCAAATACTTACGTTTCGAGTTCCACCTCTCTGGGAACCCGGCAGGATTAGAGACCGTGTGCTCAGTCCTAATGAAAAAATATTTGCGCCAGAACCCACGACTCGCTCAGTCGTCGGTTTTGACCACCAATCCTTTCGTACCGCGGCCTCTCAAATGCACCATGGTCCCCCTTAGATAGCAGGCACTGAATAATTGAAGGAGATGATGGACCGTGACTTGGCATCCGGCCAACTCCGCGTACTTGGTCAGCAGCTGAAGCACCTTTAGAGTATACGGCGTAAGTTGAGCCGGACACACGTTATAGAACTGACAGAACTCCTCCGCCAAAGGAAAAAGAGGGAGGCTGTAACCGATCGAAAAGGGGTATTCATAAAAGGCACAATACCCTGGCCGATGAACATCCACGTGATCCCTCCCTGCCGGAATCATCTCTACACAGGCGGGTATGCCATACTTCACGCGGAGGTCATCCAAGTGGTTCTGTAACGACTCTGAAAACTCTGAAGCCGGTATGGGAGAATCTTTACTGAAATCACTTCGAGATAAGATATGCTTTGGCAATAATGCCTCCACAGTAAGAGGACTGACATCCTCTTCCCCCTCCCCTTCTCCACCATCGGAAGATGGCGGCACGTGCGGTGAGGCAGCCGCCGGGACCCTCTCGTCAAATCGGCAAGGTTTAGGCATGGTTTCGGTGAAGAAAAAGCTGTGCACAACCCAACAAAAAAAAAGGAGAGGGTTTCGATCGAAGGAAAACGCATCGGAACGGGAAAATACACACTGAAGGGCTGGAACACTCTTGCCAAAGACCAAAGTTTGAATCAAGTTAAACCCTTCCCCTATTTATAGGGTTGGGTGGCGCCAAAATCGTAAAGGCAGACGTCGAATCGACACGAGAAACCAGGCGCCAAAAGCTTCAGACTCCCTGCCTCGAGAATACGCACAATGATGACGCCTACGAACGCTGACGTCACACGGGGAAAGGCATTTCGCTTCAACGCTCTGACAGTCATGATCACTGTCCCCTGCCTGTCACGTCACAAGTCATTGACAAAGTCAAACTCTCCCGGAACGAAGGTACCGATTCCGCCCATCGAGGACGCATTCGCTGCGGCCCCGACGAGGGGAGGGACTAACTGTATGGGATCGAATTTGATCGATCACGTCCTTAAGTCAGCACGACCGAATGTACGTAAGTCCGGCTAGAGGGGCGACCTATGAATGACAAGAGGGACGACTTCGTTTCCATGTCGGCCATTCCATAGCATGTACTTTATTTTCGGTCTTTTAATATTCAAGTAAGGATCCTCTATTATATAAAGAGGGATCCAAACCTTGTAAAGGGGATTCATTTTTTTTTGGAAATACATGATCTCTCTCTCTTCTCTCTCTAACATTATCTCTCTCTTGCCTTTCGAATATTATCACCTTCTCTTGTTTCTCCAATTTATATGATTGCTAGCTGATCCTATACTCAAGATCATCCTAGGGTTTACTATCTTCAACTACGATTTACCCCTTCATCTATATCGATTGATTTGCTTAAAAAGTGTTAAACAACTTTTGAGTCAAACAATATGCGTGTTTGCGTTGCGTATTAGTTATCACCGATATCTTTGGAATGTATTATCCCGATCATAGTCATTTTAGTTCTATAGCATTTATTCTTAAATTTAATCGTCCGACCTTTTTTGTTTTGTTGCTAAGCTATATCTAAGTGGCGCTTAACTCTCCTGATAAAATAGTTGTTTATTGTTTGGTTTCTTTCTTGAAGGCAGATGGTTGAATTGTGGTGAAAATTAGTTTACTGGCTAACCCAAATCAAGTGAGGCCGAAGAGGTTTTGTGGCATCCACACAAAGCTAAAAGTATTTAACATGACCAGTTACAAGAAAGGTAATTGGATGCATCTAAACTTCAAACTGAATGCTATAGGAAGAAAGTGACTTTCGTACGTGTTTCTCACGTTTGGCTTGGTGAAGTTTGTTTTCTTATTTATTTCGGTATTCAGTTTTATGATTTTTATTCCTTTACTTTCGGAGGGGAGCCTTGGCTTAACTGGTAAAGTTGTTGCCACGTAACAGAAAGTCACGGGTTCAAACCGTGGAAACAACCTCTTACAAAAATGCAGGGTAAAGCTGCGTACAATAGATCCTTGTGGTCCGGCCCTTTCCCGGACCCCGCGCATAGCAAAAGTTTTGTTGGTTACTTTATTTTCTAATGCAAAACTTTCTTGATTGTTTTTTAACGACCTAAAGTTAATGATTTTGTCTATATTGCGATAGCATTCTCCCAATTCTCTGAACTAGATTATTGGAGTTTGCTTGCTTATTTTGCCTAAGTGCACACCACAATATATTTGTTTTGCGTTAATTATCTGATTACACTCTGCATCAATATCTTCATTTTGATGTACACTTCTACTCAATTAACAACAGACTTAATGCCGGCTGAAATAAATTTCGTTAGCGAAATTAACAGCAAGTCAATAAATTGGAAGTTAAAGGTTCGTATTGTCAGGCTTTGAAAAAATCAGGATCACGATAGACCTGATAGCTCTTTTGTAATTGAGATTATTCTGATGGATTCAAAGGTGTTGTTTTAAACTTTACGCTATGCGTAAGTATATTACAACATATACGGAATAACTCTTTCATTTTGACTAACTGAGTATTTTTGTAGGGCGACCACATTCACGCAAGTATTGACAGGTCTTTTATCCAAAGGTTAAAATAACAAATTAAGAAAATAGGTTTGTACATCTTGAAGAATTTCATGGTTTGTCCGAATAATATGAAACTGTAGACCAAAGACCAGTTTAAGTTGATGTTCACGCAGTTGATGAAATACAAGATTCACATTTGAAACCTATGAGCAACTGTTAAATCCCCGAGAACTTGACAATACTAAGCTATTCGGTAATTAACTTTTTCTCATTTTTTCCAGTTTCATTTTACTTTTCATTATTTGCTTTCTCCTATGAGTTCTAAGTGGTAACTAAATCAATTCTAATAACATTACATAAGATCAAAGCTTAAGTAATAGGTAAAGCTAAATTTATTAACTTTGTTATATCCTTAAGTATTTACGTTGGCAGTTAGTTTTGTTTGTTGTAGCTTTATCCTTCTTTCTTTTATTTGTTCTATCTGTCCTTCTAATGAAATTTTAATAATGAAGTTATACTTAAATTGTTAGAAGACTCCAAAAGATCTATTTTTTCATGTGTGTTCTAATTTTATATGATAAAATGAAAGAACAAAAAACTGTGTTTTAATACATTTATGTTTGAGTAAACTTACGTATCATGGAAGAAAAATCATAAGAGTAAATGCATATGGCATCTTAGGCAAGATGCGCATAGTAAAATTCCTGCCACATATTTTACATAAGTTGTTATATATACCTGAAAGGAAACTAATTGCTTTTGTTGAACAAATGAATGTTAACAATTTGATTTTTGTCTAATTCAATGCAATTATCAGTTTCATTTAATATTCTGTAATCTATTTTTTTGTCTTATATATTCGGTATACCAATTGCTATATCTTAGGTAGATCCTGAAATTTATTAATTCTTTTACCGTCTTCATTTTATGTTGTCTATAATGATTATCAATTTTGCACTTATTTTCTTGGGTCAATGTTATTGTGGTATGTATCACTCACAGTAAGAAAATAAGTGACTAAATGTTCATGGACGTAGATGCACTCTTTGATATGTGACTGCTCCTCCAATGTCAAGTTTTAAATCTATTATCTGCTTTTCTGCTGTAAGTCCTATGTCTAGAACTCTACTCCTTTCGCATCCTAAAGTTTGTGATATTTTACATGTATATGCATTGGGCTCAGTTCATTAGCATATTTATCAATATGATGGTAATATGACTACTAGTTGTTCATGGAAACTATGACTATTCCACATGTCCTTTTTCATTTGTGGAGTAATCTGTTGAATGTTGCTTAACTTTAGGTGAACTTTGTGAATCTTTTTGGTGTTTTAGCTTTGCATCATTACTATTAGTAAGGAAAACAGTACAAAAGAGGGTTGCTCTTTTTCCTTATTTTTTCTTTCTTTTTTCTTGTCATCTGTAGAATCAATACAAAAAATATTTATAGCAGCGATTACACATAATTCTCCTAACTAACTTTTTAAAGCTAAGTTGCAGTATTCTTTATCATTCTCTTTATCTTCTTAGAAACATATACAAGGATATTTTGGTTTGCAGAATCACTTTACTACAATCAAACGTGGCATTTTATTGTGGCTACTTAGGAAATACTTATGTAAATCCTTGATCTGGACAGGTACTAAAAATATTTCCTTTTCATTCTGAGATTATGTTACTTCTAGACTGGATTGCAAATTGCGGAATTATATTATTTGTCCTTTAATCACGTTTTTTGTTGTTCACAAATTGCAGAGTATTTCTTGCAAACAAGTACTATTCTTTCAGCCTTAGTCGATATCCTTGATGAAAAAAGGATTAGAAAGACAACTGTAAATGTTTATGATTTAGTAGAATTCATCTTCTCAAGTAAATCACATCTATTCTTTGATATCGGATAGGCTCCACCATTTGCCACTAGCAGCTTTTGTAGTTACAAGATTCTAAGCAAACTATAGCCTGACTATAATGAAGTAGTTGTTATCCAATTTAACCCCTAATAATTGAGGTACTTAAAAATTCTATTGATGATAATTCAAGTAAGTTCTTTAATTTATGTGATCAACTAATGTAGAAGCATACTTTAAGTCCTTGTGGATTAGTAGGAGTATATTTTCAACCTATCTTTAATTTTTTTTTGTTAGGTAACTTATCAAAAGGAAGTGGCAAGCCGTTGGATATATTAGCAAATCTAAATGAGTTACCTGGTTTTCCGCCTTATGAAGAAATCAACAAAAAGACCAAATATCTTATGGTCAAGCCCTTTTTTAGCAAGTCACTTGGGATTGATAGCCCTTGGCAACAATAATATAGAGACAACCCTATGAAATTCTTCTCTTTGTTGTTTCTTTTAATTGTTTTGATTGCGATCCATAAATTTAATTTGCAATATTTATCTCTCTCCGCTCTCTTTTTTTCTTTGGATCGATTGCGCGGATAGTTATACTAATTATACTAAATAAAACATCCTCGCCTTTTATTAATTTAGATCTACAGCAGAGAACTGAAACAGTAAATTTGACTAAAGTGAGTAGAGCAATGAAGATTAATCCACCAATATTTTTGCAAATTAACAGATATTATCTTAAATTAGTCAAAGGTGATAATTTTCCGAGGTACTTTTTTCAAAGATGGTTTGGTGCAGATTTTTCTCACACTGAAACTCCAACTACCAAATCCAATATTGATGCTTCATCAGCTGTTCCCATTTCATCTTCATCCATGGAATCCAGTTACTCCCAGGTACAATTTCTTTCTCCCTCTTTTCACACACACCCACCAAAAACACATAGTTGAAAGGAGCAAATTTTATGTTGAACAAGAAACTGAAGGCATAACTTTTTATATAGTAAATTCAAATTTCAATGAATTTTGGCAGAAGATGGCTGCTGATTCAACATGGGTTTCAAAGATTATATTGTATTCTTTCTGGCAAAGTTCATGTTCTTGGAGAGTTCGCTTTGCCTTAAACCTCAAAGGTCTATTCTTGGCTATTTCCCTCCTACTAAGATACAATTTTAATGTACTAGTTTCTTTTCTTGGTTTTTCAACTGAGGAACTGTTTGACTGCTAACTTTGTGTTTTAGTTTATGGGGTGCTCAGGACTTGCTTATGAATATAGAGCAGTCAACATTGACAAAGGAGAACAGTTTACTTCAGGTATTATGTTTGACTTTTTGCTAGTCATTTTATTGAATTGCTTGGTCAGAAGTACCAAAGGCTTATCTTGAAATGCAATATTATGTTGATAAAAGAAAATGTAGTTAATGAATACCAAGAAAGCTCATTCCTTGTGGTGCGCCCGCAATGTCTCAGCAGATGCTTACATCGCGCCTGAATATTGGCTTATCTTTCTCCTGTGATAATTAGTTATTATGTGCTTAACTAGATATAAAGATAGTAGCAGCTGCCATATTGTTACAATAAGCACATCAGATGTGATTGATGGTTCAATGTCATGGTTCTTCCTAGTCCCTTTAGGTGGAGCTTTTGATTACTTATAAACAAAAAACTTATAGCTCTTGATTTTAATAGCGATGAACATAAGTTGCAACCATTTCAATAAAGAATATGAATAAGCTGTTTGACTTAATTTTTTAATGATTACAAAAAAAAAAGCGGGTTGACTATAACACTAGCTTGTGTGGATTATACCTCATGATTTTTATAGTGATGGGCAGAACTAGCAGCTATTTCCCTGAAGGGTAAGAATAAGAGCCCGTTTATTTCCCCGAAGGGTAAGAATAAGTTGTTTGGCTGTTTCTGATCAGTCACACTGATCAGAAGAACAAAAAAAATCTCATTGTCTGTGGGTTCTACCACCCCAGGAACCTTCATGAGGCTACCATATCTGTCTGAAGTTCTTTATTTTGCCGGTACCAATAAGATTCATCTTCCCCATTTTTATCCACAGGGTATCCTTTTCTCAGCATATCTTTCAAATTTATCTTAAAATAGCAGCTGCTTTTTAGGTCCTGATATCTAGTTTTTGTAGCTCAACCCTACCCTCCTTTCCAAGACAGCAAAGAAATGTCCAATTGACCTTTCTCTGATATGACTAATATTACCCCTCTCTACGGCGATATATGCCCATCTAACCACACACTTCCTTTGGTAAGGATGCTGGGCCAGTATCCTAGATTCCTTATATGCGAAGAAATATCCTTTCAATAAATTAATAACTTCCAGTACGAGTTAGCTCTCTGTTTTCCGGTGCCTGATTCTTCGTGTAATATAAGATCTTTTTTAAGTTAAAGGATCAGGGCATCCAATAAGTAACAGGAAGTCTTACAATGTGAAATCCGTAAATATTATGTAATTAGGTAGCCTCGGTTTGATTAAGCATAGGTATATATGCGCAAGCTCTTGCCGTGTTTGGATAGTAGAAAGAATCAAAGTAGACAAACTTAATCCAGAAAAAGTATTGGAGACGAAGCATAGAAGCATCTACTTAATTACATTAGAGGACATTCTCTCTTGATTGAGCTATGGAAAGCTAGTTTCTACTTCAGATTTCTACTGCTTAAGATTGTGATACCAGCTTCTGCTATCCAGTTATGAGTAATGTGAAAAAGTTCTGTTCCATTTATTTTTGCCCTAACGTGACCATAAACACAATCTTCTGTAGCAGTCAGTGATTCACTAGCGCAGTTTCTGAACTTGTGCAACGCTTCCAGAATAGAATATTGGTGGTATCTGCATTATCTTTTTGTTGCACCATTATATCTGGCTAATATCATAAGCATAATTTGCAGAGTTTGAGAAGTTAAATCCTCTTCATTATGTTCCTGTATTGGTTGATGGCGATGTGGTCATTTCGGACTCCTATGCAATTTTACTAGTAGGTTCTTTTATGTGTGAATAAGATCTTTTAAGCTCATGCATTCTTCTTTGATTCCTAACCCTGGCACCATCACAAATGATTCAGGTGTATGCTAATCTCTTTTCTGTTTGGCTAGTATTTAGAAGAGAAGTATTATCAGAGACCCCTGTTGCCAGTTGAACCTCAATTAAGAGCTCTCAATCTTCAGGTTAGATCCAAGTGTCTGTGGATCCTTCAGTCAGAAGTCCTCAAAGGGCATTATGAACTAATCAGGAAAAAACGTTCTTAAAGGGCATTTTGAAGAAAACATTTTAGAAATAAAAATGAGCTTATCGTGTTGCATGTGTTTGCTTATTATCTTGAATCCATAAGGGCAAGGTAAGGAAGGGGAACCTTGGCGTAACTGGTAAAGTTGCTGCCATGTGACCAGGAGGTCACGGGTTCGAACCGTGGAAACAGCCTCCTGTAGAAATGCAGGGTAAGGTTGCGTACAAGACCCTTGTGGTCTGGCCCTTTCCCAGATCCCGCGCATAGCGGGAGCTTAGTGCACCGGGCTGCCCATAAGGGCAAGATATCTTGAAGAAGGGAGATATATATTTTCTCCAGATTTAAGGTTGATGAACATTGACTTGTGGGCAATTTGTTCTCAGCAGCAAAGTTGGTTAAGACTAGGATAAAAACTGTGCACGCCTTCTTTTCTCTGCAGGCAGCAAGTATTGTCAGCTCTAGTATGCAGCCACTTCATATGTTGTCAGTGCTGGTATTCTCTGGCTCCAGCAGTTCCTTTCTGTGCTATGAGTTGCCGAGGAGGTTGTTTTGTCAGGGCAAATAATAGTTGTCATTCATTTTTCAGAGATACATGGAGGAAAGGGTTGGTCCCGAAGAGAAACAATCTTGGGCAAAATTTCACATACAAAAAGGTTTTAGTGGTAAGTTTCTTTGGAATTTCCCCTTGATTCTCTTGATATAAGTATGTTATTTGCTTTTTTCCTAACCGTCTTCTAACATTTATCCGCTATATCGCTATAGCTTCAGGGAACTATATCATTCCTTCCTCCATACTCAAAACATACTTATAGCAAGAGAATCTAGGGGAAATTCCTTGAGGCTTTATCAAGGATTTCATTGAACTATCACGTCCTTGCTGAAGTTTAAAATTTTGAAACTAACGTCATTTTCTTAAAAAAGAAAGGTAAAAATGGGAAATTAAGTAAAGCCGAGCAGGCTATCCTTACTTGTGTATCCATTGCAGGAAAGGCGCTCCTGTGGATTAAGTTGTAAGCATGTTCTATTTCCCATACCCATTTAGCCCACATGAAGAAAACAGAAGTCGCCAATAAAGCCTTCAAGTTAATTTTGATGCTTGAGCTTTGAGTTATTCTGGTACATAAGAATTTTCATCGTTGTAATATTTCAAAAAAAGAATGTTCATCGTACTGACTGAAAAAGAATGTTCATCATTGTTCTTTTTTAAAAAAAAAGAATGTTTATCATCTGGAGTCTCTTGTTCCAATTTGTTTCACATAGTTTCACTGGATTGGTTATAAGGAGTTAGTTTGATTTGCATATTTTATATGTAGCGGGGTAGTTTTGGCTTGTAAATAGAGCTTGTATAATAGGGAAAGTATCAAATGAGTTGGATTTCAATTTCTATATTACTCATTGAGTTATTAAAACTTGATTCCCTGTAACTTTTTGAATATGGTTAGTTGTACATATGCTTCAAAAAATTTGGATATCCAATTGAACATTTATTGGGTTAATTTTCATAAAAAGTATCACAGGGATCGGGATAGAGGTAATATTCTTCTTAATTGGTGACGAATTTGTTTTTTCATGAGTCAAAGGAGAAAGTTAGTTCTGAATTGGATAACAGAAGGATCTCTTTCAGCCTAACAGTGTTCAATATGCCCATTTGCTTAAGCTTCTGGTGTTTAGACAAGATGATTCTCTTTTGCTATAGATCATGATCCTTTTTCCTGTAGGTTCTAGGATAAGAATGTGGCAACTAGGCCTCCTCGTGTTGTCTGATGTAGGGGATTTTGTTTCCTTCTGTAGTCTTCTTCATCCTATTGTTTAATTGGTTCTGAAGAAATTACTTCTTTTTCGGAGCAGCTCTTGAAAAATTGCTCACAGGATCTGCTGAAAAGTATGCTACAGGAAAAGAAGTATATATGGTATGTTCTCAACACTTCTATGCTTGCTTGATAACATTGCTCTATTGTGAAGCTGAATTCATTGAGCTTCTATAAATGAATTGGAAAGTAGTAGAGGTAATATTTCCAGTTGTGAAGTGATGTTTTCGTTTTTTATGATGATAACATAGTTTTGTGTGCATACACAGAAACTGGAAATCCTCGTCTGGTGCATCATTTAGATGAACTTTGTAGTTTGGATCTAGAAAATTTTATTGTGGGTTGACTATTTTCCTGAGTATGGTTGTTGCTTCTCTCAAATAAAGGAGATCAGGGTATTATTTTGTTTCAATGAAAACAGCAATCACAACAACAGTTAAAACAATAACCTTGATTATATTATTCCTAAATGATCTTGGAGCTGATATTACACGGTGGAAAATTGCAGGCTGATGTGTTTTTGGCGCCTCAAATTGCAGTGGCTACTAAAAGATTTAACATTGACATGGTAAGTTTTGGTGGGTGTTTTTGTGAATACGGTGACAACTAAAATTGCTATTAAATGGATATGGGTCATTTTTTTGGCTGCAAAATGACTACCCATTACTTGTTTAAACTCTATTAGTTCTTTTCTATCACGGGTTCAAACCATGGAAACAGCCCCTTGCAGAAATGCAAGGTAAGACTGCATAGACCCTTGTGGTCCGGCCCTTCCCCGGACCCTGTGCATAGCGGGAGCTTAGTACACCGGGCTGCCCCTATGCATTGGATTTCAGTGCAAACAAACTTCATTGTCCTTAGCTGCAAGAGAGCCAAGTTAATCAAACTCTAAAGCTCCAACTTGCTTAGCCCTATTATACTGGCCATACCCGGCTGGACTAGTTTGATACACATGCTCGAGTTTGAGATTGAACTCTGGCCGATTAATTCCATGGTTGAGCTTGGCACAGCTTATTTGTCTAAACAACCAAGCTTGAGCTCGTTCGTGAACTTAGTTGACATGAAGATTGGCTCCGAATCATTTTTTGTCTGCGTGAGCCACCCTTATCCTATTCGTTTGAGTACAGCTAACACTCATCTGACTTTCTGTTTGTTTGTAATAAGTGAGCCGAGTTTGAGATTTATACGGGTGGATATCGAGCTTATGAGATGGGTTGAGTCGAGTTCTGTTATCTTGAAATACTACTATTTTCATGTAAATAAGATTCTTGGCAATGGTGTCTTTGGTATGACGTAAATCGTTTTCATGAAATATTCTCCTTATATCCAATGAATTACCAAAAACTAAGCAACTTCTGTTTGTTGTGGAGAACATTTCACATCACACTTAACGTGGATCATGCTTTTTTTCCTGGGGATATATACTGTCCAGTCATTGAATCTAACAATGTCTTCTTCAATTTTCTTGTCCACTCACTCCCCTCTCCTCACCCTCCCCTCAACCTTCCAAGAAAACAAACAAAACAAAACTTAAAATACTCAATCAGCAGGTGGTTTAATGAACATATCTACCAAAACTTACTTGCATTTTCTATCATTTTAATGAGCATATCTACCAACACATAATTGTAGTTTTATTTGCAGTCTTTCTTTTTGGAATAGAACTTCTAGTATTCTGTGATTTGATTTGAAATGCACCTTACGTCGTCTATGTGCAGTCCCAGTTTCCCACTTTAACAAGGATATATGATTCCTGTAAGGCGTTGCCAGAATTCCAAGCTTCTTCACCGGAGCGACAGCCTGATGCTGCCCTGTAAGCTATGCATAATACTGAGTTGCAAGAATATTGAAGTCTGCTAAATGTGATGAAGTTATAAGCAAAATGTAAAACCTTAACTTGTGTTTGGTATGATGTAAAAATATTTTCATACTATGTTTTGGTTGAACATCTTTTGAAAGAAAAGATTGTTGACGAATCTTGAAATATGAAAGTCACTAATCACATTGTTTTGTGATGTATAAGAAATTCAATTAAAATCAGGGATTTGTTATTGTAGAATTTTTTTTTTCAGGTAGACTTTTGAATCAACGTGGGTCTCTTTTGATGAACGAACACCAACAATGTATAATTGGTAGATTTGACTGCCACCTCCTATTTGAGTAAGGAATGAATATCGGCAGGGGAAGAGTTAGAGTGCCGAGAGCGGTTCGGTCTAACTCAGTAGCTTTGGTTCGAACCTTGTATTTGTCTTAAAAAGTTTATTGAAATATGTATAAATTAGGGATTTTTTCATTCCTATACACTATTTGAAACTTTATTACCATTAATCTCCATGTTTAGCTAATTACGTGACACAAACAAGTTTTGTTTACCAAATATATACAATCCACCTTAAAAGGCTCTCAATCCATTATTTGTGGTTTCAATCAAGGGATTTAATTATACCTTCTTCCTTTTTTTCTCTCCCCTTTCCCCTTTTCTCTCGAGTAAAGTTTTTCAATTATTTTTCTGTTGTTGATTTTAAAATTAATTTTTATTTTCGAAAACCATTTTTACAAATACGAAGCAAACTCCACGTAATTAATAGCGCTGAATGCTGATAATGGAGATTAAAAAAAGAAACAAGAACATAAGATGTAAAAATTCAATTAAGGGCCATTGAAGATGATGTTTCACTGAGAACATGAATCTTTGCCAAATCATGGATTATTGACCTCTGAAATAGCAGTTTTTTCTCCCTCTAGTTAGTTGATCTTTGTTTCTATTCTCTTAAGTAACTTTGATTGAAGCTAAGTTCACACTCTGTTTCTTATAATCACTTGAAGACGTGTGGGTAAATTAGTTTAATCACAGTTGCCGTATTGGTTCTTCTCTGCTACTATGTTTCTCGGAGGAAGAAGGTGCATAAAGGTGTGTGCAGCAGAGCTAATTTCACAGTGTTGTATAACATTACAATGTAACAAAATGTTTTAAACTCGCGATGGAGTCATGGTAATTGCATACTTTTAAAATGTAAAAGTATAATATATACATAATAATTATATATTATATAACTTATCTACAACTTTCATACATTATTCTACCTAGTTATATACAACTACAATATCATACCACGTAAATACAATTTTTATACAATATGTCTTTTGTATATTTTGTATCTGATTTATACGTAGTAAAAACAAATTTCATACAACTAATTATATATTGTACAACTTATTTACAACTTATCCACAACTTTCACACATTATTTCTACCCAGTTATATACAACTACAATATCATACAATTTAAATATAATTTTTATACAATATGTCTTTTGTATATTTTGTATCTGATTTATACATAGTAAAAACAAATTTCATACAACTAATTATATATTATACAACTTATCCACAACTTTCACACATTATTTCTACCCAGTTATTTACAATTACAATATCATACAACTTAAATATAATTTTTATACAATATTGTTCAACTTTCATACAATATTGCCGCCGTTAGGTGTGTATATATATACACACCTTCAATTCCTGCAAACTGTAGATGTAATTTTTTTTCCCCTCCTTCTATCTCCCGAATGTTAAAACTAAAAGCAAATGAAAATTTTGACCGAACAGATCTTTATTTGTTCTATTTGGGCAACATTAGTGCTATTAATCCTTATAAATATTAAGTTTTTACGGTAAAGAGTGAGTTATCTTTTTAATTTATATATTTTAAAAATTACAACACATCACACATCTCTTAAAGTAAAATATTTATAAAATTATTTGACTTTCTAAGAGGTTTTTGTGTCACATAAAAGTAAAGTAAATAAGTAATTATGATGCTGCTTAAGGAAATTTGCCGCCGTTATTATTCGGGTGCATACTGGATAACCTGTTTACTGTATAATAGTTCGTAAAGATTACATAAACATAAACATAAACAAACCCAGTATGTTCCCACCAGGTGGGGTCTGGGGAGGGTAGTCTGTACGCAGACCTTACCCCTACCTAACAGGTAAAGAGACTGTTTCCAAAAGACCCTTGGCTCAGGAAGGGTAATGAGAAGAAGTGGATAGCAAGAAATGAAGAAAGAGGGAAGAGAAAAGGAAAAGGGAGAATAAATGACAAGTAGTACCAAATACTAGCAACAAGGAATACAATATCTGAGGCGAAAAAAAATCATATAACGTAATAAAAATCTAAGATTATGAAGGGGCATGCGTGCTACTAAGACTATCGGTGAGCAACTAAAAATTACCCACTAACCTTCTACATTAATCCTCGACCTCCGCACCCTCCTATCAACAGTCATGTCCTCAGTAAGCTGAAGCAGCGCCATGTCCTGTCTAATCACCTCTCCCCAGTACTACTTAGGCCTACCTCGACCTCTTCTCAAACTCGTCATGGCCAACCTCTCACACCTCCTAACAGGTATCAATGCTTGCTCTCTTAACATGTCCGAACCATCTCAGCCTCGACTCCCGCATCTTGTCCTCCACGGAAGCTACTCCCACTCTGTCTCGAATAACTTCATTCTTAATCTTATCTCTCATGGTACATCCACACATCCATCTCAACATCCCCATCTCTGCTACTTTCATCTTCTACACGTGGGAGTTTTTGACTGGCCAACACTCAGCCCCATACAGCATAGCCGGTCGAACCACCACTCTATAAAGCTTGCCCTTAAGTCTTGGCGGCACGTTCTTATCACATAAAACACTGGAAGCGAGCCTCCACTTCATCCATCCCACTCCGATGCGATGTGCGAAATCTTCGTCAATCTCCCCGTTACCTTGGATAATAGACCCGAGATACTTAAAACTCGCTCCCTTGGGGATAACTTGAGCATCAAGCTTTACCTCTATGTCTGCTTCATGGGTCCCGTCACAGAATTTGCACTCCGAGTATTCTGTTTTGTTTCTACTCAATTTGAAACCTTTAGACTCCAAGGTCTGTCTACAAACCTCCAACCTCGCGTTAACTCCGCTTCGCGTCTCGTCAATCAACACAATATCATCAGCAAATAGCATGCACCAAGGCACCTCCCCTTAAATGCGTCGCGACAGTACATCCATCGCCAGGGCAAATAAAAACGGGCTAAGAGCCGATTTTATTGCGCCCCTTGAATGAATAGTTCGTAAAGATTGCCGCCTTATTTATTGTTATGAGTATAAATGCCCTTGTCATTTCTCCTATTCAGTCATCCCCATCAAGCCAGACAAATAAGTTGCCTCTATTTATGAATTCCAAGTGCTACAACACCTCTGTACACGTTGAAATCCTTTGACATCTGTTTATAGTCCAAATTGAGAAACTCACATGCACTTTTAGACCTTTAACTAGAGAATCTTGAGATTTTTTCTTGTACATCCAATAGGCACGAACCACCTAAGTAAAGATCTATATATTATATATGTTGAAGATGCCTGTATATTGTATATAGTTGACGAACGTTAAAAAATATATATTTGCATTAAATATGAAACCACATTCATAAAGAAGTTGTGAAAAATGCGTCTCTACAGAAAGAGTTGGGATAGAAGATAAAGAAATGGGCAGGGCTGAGCTAGCATTCTGGCTACGGGTTTGGCGAACCAGTAGATTTGGTTCTAACTCTTTATTTATCTTGAAAAATTTATTAAGGCAGGAATAAGGAAAGGAAAAGGAAAGAAGGCTGCGGCAGAAAATAAGGAAAGGAAATAAGAAGAAGAAGCTAGCTAGGGTAAAAACAAGAGTATATTCTCTGAATTGATTCCTCTAAAGCAGGAATTACAATATATATAGATAGGGTGAGTGAGGTACAATAGCCTCCTAGCACCCGTACTCCTGCATTTGGTCAGTTGGACCTTTCGTAAATAAGACAAGGAAAATTACAGAGCTAATGTGTAATAACTATAAGTTGAAATTTAAAACTAAGTGGACTAAAGTAATAATTTCTCAAACTTCTTTCCAGCTCCTATTTTAACTAACTTAACCGCTCCGTACTCCTCCGCAAGCACGAGGACTACTGCCTTAAGCTACTCGTATCAGATCCCCCTTGTCAAAATCTTCCTTGTCCTCAAGGAAGGAAAGATGGAAATCTTGTTCTCAAAGAATGATACTCCTCCCAAGTTGCTTGCTCAGGTGCTCCCACTGTACGAGTACCTGAGCAATGGCTTTGTTCCCTTTTTGCACCAGGCGTCTGTCTAGAATTTGTTGGGGTTGAGGGCAATAGGGGCTGGCAATATCAATGACTGGGGGGTGTGAAATCTTTTCAGGTAGTTTGTGGCAAGGTTTGAGCTGGGAGACATGGAATGTAGGATGGAGGAGGAGTTGAGAGGGTAAGGATAGTTTATAGGCTACATTTCCAATTTTTTGGAGGATTTGGTATGGCCCATAGTATTTGGCTGAGAGTTTGGAGAAATGAGAACCTGACATACTGAGCTATCTATAAGGTTGAATCTTGAGGTACACCCAGTCGCCTATTTTGAATTGTCTGTCAGACCTGTGTTTGTTAGCCTGTGAAGTCATCCTTTGTTGAGCTCTGTGGAGCTGGTGTTTCAGCAGTTGGTATTTGAACTCTCTAGTGAGTAAGTAGGCTTCTGTCGACTTCTTCCATGACTGAATCTCCAACAATGTAAGGTAAGTGGAGTGGGGGAGGCTGCCCATACAAAGCTTCATAGGGTGTGGTTTAGATTGATGAGTGAAATGTGGTATTGTACCACCACTCAGCAGCTGCCAAATATGAGAACCAATCCTTCTGGGAATCAGCACAGAAACACCTAAGATAGGTCTCTGGGCATCTATTTATAACTTCTGTTTGTCCATCTGACTGAGGATGATAGGCTGTAGAGGTACTGAGTGTGACACCATGCATAGAAAACAGCTCTTGCCATAGTTTGCTAGTAAATATAGGGTCTCTGTCACTGACTATATCTTCTGGCATACCATGTAGTTTGAACACATTCTCCATGAATAATTTGGCAATGTCACTAGCTGAGTAGGGAAGTGACACTCCAATAAAATGTGCATATTTGGTGAGCCTGTCAACAACCACCCAAATAACAGACTTCCCATGAGACTTTGGT